TTACAAGCTTTATTAGAGACTAAACCATTTGTATTTTTATTAATTGATGTTATGCACGTCTGTCGACATAGCTAAATATATTTAAATACACACACAAACGTTCATATATATCAACAGATGAAGTATTCACACTGGAAAAATGTACGGATACGTCGCTATGCGACGTCAACAAAAAGTCAACTTTTATAAATGAGCAATTAAAATATGCTTCAGGCATCCATTTCTTAAAAAATGAATAGTAAGCATGGACTTTTGTCAAATTGTTCTAAATATTTGGAGAAATGAAACAAAACATCAGTTATTCGATTTTAACGGATATGATTTAAGCATTGATGCAATTTGGGTACAGTACTCCTCATTACAGAAGCATGGATCGTTTGGAGGTTGGTTCAAACCAATTTTTCTATGATTTAATATGATTTCAAAACTAAACTGGTGGAACTATATAGTAAATAAGGATACATCTACAAAAATAAACAGAGAATGGAAACTTTTGTCTGGATCATAAATAAACGTAGTTGAAAAAACTGTCAAAATAGGTGCAATTTGGGTACTCTCTCGTTACGCAAATATACTTAGGATAAAGTATTTGATCTCCATGATACAGCAACCGTTACCTATTATTGTTGTTGTTTGTTTTACAAAAATAACACATGACCAAATAATCTATACTTTATATTTACATACTTTATATCTGTACAATTCTATAATAAGACATTTAAATTTGTTACCAAGACGCACTGTTCATTAGTCCAAACACAATTAAAATTTGATAACAATCAAGACAATATATTGCACGTTTATAAATTCTTTACCCGGTACAAATGATATATTTATCGATCATTAAATACATTTAAACAAAGATAAGCAGTAAATAATTGTAAAATATAGCCCTGAATTCCGCGGTAAAGATGGTGCAGACGATATGGAGTTTGATGTCAGCTGACTGGCAGATCGGTCGTCTGTTGGAATGTGTTTGTTACAATATGACTCAGTGCAACAGGAGGTACATTCCTAAAAGAAGAACCAATATTGAATTAATTATACATTTCCTTTATAAAGGCTCACTCTGTACATTATATGTTAGTTGGATCTTCACGTGGGATAAGGAATCGTGTTCCATGTCAGTATTTTATATCCCCTGATCTGTCCATATTCCCTGTGAATCCCGAATATAACAATTATATTATAGAGTAACCTGATTTCAACATTAATTACCATTTTGATCTTCGTTGTTGTACACATGGGATATGGACTCATATCCCCTGTCAATGTAACCAATCAAATTGCACGGTTATGCGGGATATTTCATTCCAGTACAATATAAGAAGATACGGTTTTTACATTTCAAAAGAGAAACGTTGAAAGACCATATTAAAATCAAATGTAAACACAAATAAGCTGGAAATAGTTATCTATGTAAACATTTGATAATCAATCCCATAAGCACATTATAGTTTGTAAATTGAGAGCTTTGCAAAATTTTACATAATTCTGACCAAGAAAAATATAAGAGACTATTCTACTTTGAATATAATTAAAATGAGTGAATTTTCAATCCATAAAATCAACACTTCATTTTCGCAACACAAATTGTGTGTTACATTCATTGGGCCTATCCTGCTGTTAGTGAAAAAAAAACCCGGAGTTTATGGAAATACAAATGATGACAACAAAGAAACAGGTACGTGGAGCCTACTCTGACACGCCGATATCATACGAACTGAAAAAAAGTGCGGTCATATGAAAAGCAACACAAATATAAGTAAAAATTTATACAAGAAATCTGAAGTTTCAGAAATCAAACTGCTCTGCTCTGCCATAACAACATATCTTTCACGGCAAGTCACGCAAAATAATTTAAAATTACCATGAGCTATAGAAATAGTAAAACAACATTTGATTTCTGGAATTTTTTTTGGTGGACTGATGTTTGACTTTTTGTCTTCGCTAACTAACACAACCTATATTTTGTCAATCAACAAATCCAGCATTCTGGGTTTTTTGACATAGGAAAACATTTTTTCTTCAGGAAAATGAACGATCTTGTTTGTTTGTTTGTTTGTTTGTTTGTTTGTTTGTTTGTTTGTTTGTTTGTTTGTTTGTTTATTGTGTTAGTTTAACCGGAAACGTGTTTATGTGTCAATTATAAGCCCTATAATGTATCATTAATGTATGGATGCTAAAATGCTTTTTTAAGTAATGGTTACTTTTTTTACAGTGAACGTTTGATGGTAGTTTAGGGCTTCACATTTAAGTCTTAAAAAGAGTCATTTTTATAATGTATATTTTATCCCAAAAGTATTGGCCCTTTATAGATTATATCGCAAATTTTCATATTTGTTTTCCTTCTTTTAAAACATTTTTTTAGGGACCGGGGATTTTTTAAAGGGCGGCTATAATAAGAAACCAACATTCTTACTCCAGAGGATTATATATTTAAATCAATCATTTTTTTCATATTTTTGAATTGATTTATCCTTCTGTTCTAATTAATGATGGTCATATGTATTGCGTATAGAAACAATTTTGGAAGAATGACTCCTTACGCGTGTATTATTAGTAACAAAAGTCCTGTTGGTTTTAGACTAGGTTATTACAAATTTAAAAACGGACAGACAATGAAACTCAGTGATTTGTCCTAGCTCAAATTGGACCGCTGCTGCAAAAGCAGTTAGTGCGCAAAATTAATGATTAAATCATGATCGGGTTCACATTGGTAGACAAGCATCACATTGGTAGACAAGCATCACATTGGTAGACAAGCATCACATTGGTAGACAAGCATGAATTTATGTGTGTGCTTAACGTCTAATGGCAAATATTGCATGTATATGTATAATCAAGACGGATTAACAAATAGTCGAAAATGTAAAGTGAGTCGAACGTGATCGATGGATGGAAATTCAGGGTAGCATGTAAAAAAGAGGGTATTATACTATGTTGGACAGGGGCAAAAGTTGTGCCGAGCTTGATTCCACCTATGGGCCTCTCAAGGAGTAACACACAGAGAGCGTGGCTGGCTTCCGACACGATGCATCAAGATTTTACGTTTCAATTAGGACTGGACGTAGCTGCGTATACACCCGCACATCCAAAAGAACGCCCTCTTTATCATGATTTTAATGTCAATGTGGCTATATTCTACACCCCTGTCAACCCTTGGGGTTACGCGCGCGTTAAAGACAGCAAACGAATGTTTTTGTTAACGCTTGTACAGTTATAATTAGTGACTCGAGTTTCAGCATATTTTTGAACCAGTTAAATTCTACAATTTTTCAATTCAATAACAATCTGTGTTTTGTGTATCTATTGTATTTAGTATTCATAAATAAAATATATGTGGATTTGCATCAATGACCAACAACTCAACAACGCAAATTATTAAAAGATATCTAGAGGGCAACGTATATAGTCTTAATAGACATGATTGATTGATTATTGGTGACCGTGTTTTGGGCTACTTTGATCACAACCAACTATCAATAAATATCAAATGTAATAAGCAATTATCAACGGTGATTGAAATTTTTATAAGAGGCGTATTAACAGTTTATTTTTTAAATTAAGAGTAAAATTCATAGCTTTTTAAATAAAACATCTAAGGCAACGTTAACCCTTTCAGTGGTCCTTAAAAAACCTGTCGTAAAAAGTTCTTGTTCCTTCCAACATAACCTCTTTCCCAGAAGCAGTAAAACATCTAGCCCTATATACTAGACGACCCCTTCTGTCGACCTTGTCTATTAAATTTAATGTGTTCTCGTTCTGAAAAATGTCTCAATGGACCGTTTATGAAAACGACAAAAATCAATCAATCAATCAATCAATCAATCAATCAATTAATCAATCCTTCATATTCGATATATCGTACCGTGGAGCCACCATTTGTTATGCACCCAACGACTGTCTTATCACATTCGAATGGAAACACACATGTTTTGGTTACTCTTATGCTGACGTTGCTACTTGTATTGAATCTATGAATTGTTGCACATGTAGTTTTATCTGCAAATAAATAAACATAAATAAACCTTATGTCAAGTAAGATACTGTAACAAATGTGAAGAAAACAATAAACAATTTGTTCAATCGTTTACATATAACTTAAAAAAATTAAAGCAAAATTAGTCAGTGTGCGTAACGCAATCTTATGATAAGTAGAATAATTTCATGTGTAATTTCATCAAATGTTGACACTGAAAAAACGTCCTCCTTCATGACGGGTATAGCATCATACCGAATGAAATCAGTCGAAATAATATAATTATACTATAATGTTATGAGAGAAAAACAGCAGATAATTTTTTGTTTTGAAGATTTTTCTGATAGGTAAGAAGTGGCTCCATCATAATTTCTTGAAAAGCTATTGTATAAAATATCTAATTCAACCCAAATTGTACTTGATTCATTCTAAAGGATACACAATTTGTCCTGTTAATTCTTAATTCTGACTAAATTTGTAGCATACCAGTTTGTTTACATAAAATGGCGACGAAAACTATAATAGTTTCGCATTATACCATAATGATCTGCTTGTACATGTATAGTATAAACATATTTGAATATGACTGAACAAATATTAACAAGAGAGGAATGTGGTAAAGTTAGTGCTGACCATGCATACTTTTCCTTACATAAAATATTATCGCTGAAATTATGTTTTTTTGTTTCAGTTCACAACTTTTTAAGTTTCATAAATTATTAATCAAAATGCTGCTTTTTTTTTTTATCGTGTCTGCAAAATATAACATTCTATCAATTTTATCTTAGTTTTAAAAATGATTTATTCAGACTGTTTGAATCAAATTGAATTATGATACAAGGCGTTTGTTAAATAAAAAAAAAATAGCTGTGACCTTCATTGTCATTATCATGCTCAACATAGAAAGAGAATAACAGTATTAATTATTGCATACACAATCTGAACGTATAGCATTCGCTATTTTCTTACATTCAATAAGTAATTTGCTGATTGGGCTTATTGATCTGTGAATACCTACTTTGCGAACAGGGAATATCTGGGGCCCAATCATTGCAGTCTTGATTACTGTACATCTCTGGACATGTCCAGCATGTTAGACCTGTAAATAAAAAAAGATAAATGGAAAAATTGAAAGATTTATATTTCTCAAAAGAAAACACATCATGAACACTGTACTTGAAAAATAGTTTTGTGTGTTATAATACGTTTTCTCAACTTAAATCTTGCAGAACTCCTCTCATTTAGGATTTTATTTATTGTTGAATTCTTGATTTTATGTACGACTAAAAAGAGACGTCCAGGTTCATGGTCTTTGAAGGACTAAAACATGGCATAAGATGGTCTAATGTCATATATCAGTTCTAAATGATGTTTTTGAAAGTTCCGTAAGTTAGGGTAAATCCTAAAATCTGTTGTAAATCTAGGACATGAAAATACACGTCTCAAGATGGTCTCTGGCTCATGAACTTAGTAGTTTACAATGATATTGAAGAAACATTTGTTTTGCTTCACTTTATGTTTTCATACTTTTAAAGAATTATTACACTAGATATTGTAATGAAACTAAGACTTTGGATCCTGTCAACAGCAACTTTGTGAAATATGTATTGTCCTTTAAATGTATTCCCATGAAATTATCGTATAGGCGTATATGTAAAACATGTCTAGATGAATTCATGTTAAAAGAAAAGGAATAAATAAGGAGTTGTTAAAATTTATTGTCATGAAAAGAGCATATGACAGAATTGATTACACTGTTTTAACGTGAACAAAATTGTCCTGTATTTTTTACATGCAACATATCATCACTTAGGACAATCCACTCTTATTAGGACTATCTTCAGACAGCTTTCAGATATTTTTACAGCCTACGACGTCGATTAGGATGTAGGCAGACTTCCTTTTTTTCGTGTCGATAAATGCGTTAACATACCCATTAATAAATTCCGAAAGAGATTACAAAAAAAATGCAAGAAATCAGTATCAATATTTCTGTAGAAGTTATATTACCATGATTAGTTTGTTTTGGTGCTGTGACAACAAAGTGACTGGAAACTTTACATGCATACATCCCCAGCAGTAAGGCAACAAGAAAGAAGATCTCAGAAAGTAAATTGACATTCATAGTTTTGAATAACTGTATTGTATTCCGTATAATTCAGTAAAGCAACACAAGGAAATTGTCCAAACGTCTATTGAAACTCATATTTTTTATCACTGCATTGTATCCAGTATAACTTAGTAAAGCAACACAGGCAAAATGTCACAAAGAAAACGGACACAATTAATTTTGAATCATGAATAGCATTCAATCCTGTACTGTATTATTCAAAGTAGCACTATTCATACTATTTTTCATTTGGCTTAGTTTGTTTAATATCTTGTGTTTCTTTGAATATATTCATAGTTTTCCTTTTTACATCCTTCATTTAACTATATACAATCGGGTTTTTTTTTAAGACTTCACAAAATTATGTCAACTCCCTTTTTACGATTTGTTTGTAAACTACAGGGTCACTTCGTGTACCATCATTTGAAAAATCTACAAGAAAAAAGTTAAGTAAGTAGTAAAATATTGCATGTTCACAAGCACTTGGAATGTCACGTGACAGAATTTGACACGAAATGAGTTAAATAACTGTGGATATTAACTAAATAAATTTAGGAAAGGCATATAAATTAACGATAAATCTTTGTGTACATAGCGTGAGAATTAGCATTAACATTTGACACCTTTTGCTCAAATAGCCACATTATCTTTGTTTTATTTATTCATATCAGTTGTTCTTTATTACAATTATTAACTGGCTTTTAACTAAATAAAGTTTTATATATTTGTTTATTAACTAGATGATTGTAATTGACTTGATAAGACCCCTTTTAAATTTTTTTTGTTTTCATTCATTGCGAGAGGAATCGAGACGTGCTATTAAATAAGCACGACATTCTTAACATATGACATGAGACAAAACATGTTCCAATAATGAATTTTTAAATTAGGAATTTGTTACAAAACTTATAAACATGAATAAAAGTATTTTACTACAAATATTTATTATCAATTCGACACATTTTTTTATAATATTGTCATAATTACGTCTTTTAGAAAACTTGTTACAATTGTAATCTCTGAAAATAGTTATATCTATACAAAGGAGTTCTCTACATGGAGTATATGGGTCCGTACGTGACCTGTTATCTCTACCCCTAATGTGGAATACAACATCCTCTATTTTTAGTGTCACGCCATATTTCACAACCTTCAGACCAGTCTACCTGGCCTTATTTGGAAACCTAACAAATTGCTTTGTTTTTACAATGTAAAATTGTTGCAGTTCTCAGCATTCCTGAAATACTTTCCACTGAAAATAACCAACCAACAAATAATCAAGTTATGTAACTGCCTGCCGATTGCAAAGTTTTATATTAATAGAATGGAAATAAATTTCACACCTTGGATTTCCCTTAACTGGTTGTAGTATGTCGAAAGTTTAGAAATTTTGTTGCGTCTATATTTTTTTATTTAGAGAAAAAACTTTTCAATGACAAGTATGTATCCATTTCCCTAGGCTGTCGGTACACCGCTTGTTAAAAGAGCTACATTTATGTTCCTGGATTTTTCCCTATGCAATTTGATTTTTAATAATAAAGCTACGATATATGATACATTCCAAAACAATGAAATACGCATTAATACAATGCATAATTTAAAATAACGTTTTTCTTTGAAAAGGTGTTCTTTTGGAAATATTTGTTGTTAGCAAGTACATGCAAACGGCATATTTACAACAACGTTCGGTCTACATTTTACTCGTACATGCTGTTCACTAAATAAAGAAAAAAGGCTTACCCGATTGATTAAGATGTCAGACCAAACCAAAGTTTTAAAATGTTGAATATAATAATGAATCAGCCTTAAATTGCTTTTTGACACGCAGACTTTGCCATTATTTATCGTAAATTTCACCGAATGAAATTATAAATTAAACCACTTTAATTGCAATCATTAAATAGTTTGACTTTTGAATATTTTAAAGGACCGCGACCTTAACCAATATTGAAAAGATTTTTTCTTTTATCAGTTATAAATACAAAACAGAAAATTATTTATTTCTTTTAATTATATACACCACACGCAGAAAAACACTTTCACAAAGAAACACTTATGTATCACCACATTGCAAATTTACACCCTATAAAGTTTTAATCATGAAAAATAAATAATTTTTATGTGATGATGTTTTTAAACAATTTCAAAATAAAGAGGTTTACTGCTTTCTTCGTGAGAATGGTATTTGTATATGAGTTGACACTGAAATTTAAAACCCAGGTATTTTCATGGCCCTTTACATTAAATCAGAAAGACTTTTCTGTTTCTATAGTATTGAGATACATATGATATTGAATATCATGATGTGTAGCAAATTTATTTTTAAATGAGAAAGTCTGACAACGTAGTTAATCGGTACAGAGAAAACAAACACCAGCAAAAAAATATAATATACATTCAGAGGTAGGTATATCATTTTCATATTGAGTAAAACATGTTAAAGTATTTTTACTCGCCTAATATTTTGCTTAATCCAAAATTTGTACCCAGACGTCCGCAATTAAAATAAATTTCTGCTGTTACCGATCCCGATTGTACGTCAAAGGCTTTTAGACTTGGTTGACCATTCCACCTTTTAGCAAAATACAAGACGTGTGAATTCTGTGGTTTTTTTTTTGTGTTTTTTTTTGTGTGAAAGAATATAATTTGGTACTCATAAACTCTCTCGCGATCGGTACATCATTATTTAGTTGGAACAAAGTAAAAAAAAATCTTTCTATATAAGAATCCGCTAGCAAAACTATTAGTGGACACAGTTAAAAAAATAAATAAAAAATAGGCTTTAAACAATTTTTGACAGCTTTTTGTATTGCGCTTACAAATTATATCGATGAAGACCGTAACTATGTGAGAACTTAATTTTCAATTGGTTTAGGTTGCTGTCTCATAAACCGTGGACCTAAAAATTATGTAAGGGTTGAAAAACGTGGATGATTTGTATTGAATGAAATGCGGACGCTATTCTCATATTATGGGTACATGAATTGTAATAACATATAAATTTTTCCTATAGTTTACCATGTATATAATGCCAGGCACTTGCTATTAGATCTAATTGTACCGGCTTTTTTACACGAGTATGAAATTTTGCGACAACACCAGTTAGAAAAACACAGATGATATAAAATGCTAACAAAATATAAATTTTCATTTATAAATGAGTGACTGTCTGCAAAGAAAAGAAAAGAGGAATTTTGACCAGGGAAGTAGAAGGATTTCTCAATATAAATCATTAACATAATGTAGATTTTGTCATCGTCCAGTGGGATTTAAATCATATTCAGGACAAAAGTTAAACCGGGTCAGCATGAAACGCAATCCTATATTCCATTTTATTGTATGCAATTTAACAAGAGGTGATAAACAAATCTGTGATACAATATACTTTTCTATTTCAAACTAAAAGTTGTTCTGAAAATCGGTATGTTGGGTTAAATGCCAAAAAGTGCATGTTTATGTTGTTGAATCCTGTCAGTACGGATTGAACAAGTAAATGCATTTTTGACATATCAGTTCAGACAACAATTAATGAAGTTTCCTAAGCAGACGCATATTTATATTTACAAGACAAAATCAATTTGCTTAGGAGGTCGTCACAAATACCGTATACTAAGATCAATATTGCTATATAACAGTCTTGAATTGATTCTCCCAAGAGAATTGCATTTTTGGCTTCCCACTTCCCAAACTTTTAGTCTAGATCGTACAGTATCAGAGCTCTAATACATGTACCAGATGAAGGTTATTTCGGGAACTTTGCGCACTGAGATTATGATAGCATCAAATTAAGATAAAATATATTGTAACATTACTGATAAATGCAGAGTGCGTAAAGTATATAGCTAAAAGTTACAATAAGGTAAAAATACAATGCTTAAATAGACAGAAATAAGAATAGGAACAACAAACCTGTTTGCATTATTAAAAATCCAAAAAGGCCATGCAACTCTCCAGTCCATAATCTCTTGATGTTTTGAACTATTGAATGTACTATGATTGTAGATTAGAAGACATATAGAGTGATCGATGTCTGAAATGACTCACTGCGTATTACAATGTTTATATTATGATTAATTGTTTATTAATGATTGGTTGATGCTGAATAATATATTATCATGACTTTTGTCTTATGAGTTTTGTAGAAAATCAACACATTCAAATCAATGAAGTGTAATTGTTTATCAGATGCAAAACTAAAATGTTTCTTTTATTTTTTTCTACATTGTAATTTTGTTGTCTAAAGTTTCAAATAAGTGTTCCTGGCAATATGATTACAAGTTTATGAACAGTTCTTTCAGGGCATACGATACAGTTACGGGGGAGGTAATGACGTCGCTAACGTAAAATGATACTTTTCGCGACGTCAAACTGTGACAGATCAGGTCGGAAAAGATGCATTTTTCGACTGATTTTGACATTCAAACTAATTTATCTTGAAAACGAGTTCATAGACCTCTCTTTTTAAAAATGACATTTGGCTTGATTATGTATGAAGATTACTTGTGCCAATTTTTATAAACAAATCACCAATGAAATTTTTTTTAAATTGGATGAATATACAGCAAAAATTGCCGTTTTTTTTTACTAAAATCATGAAAATTTGATAAAAATTGAATTATTTCCAAAGAAGTATTACCCAAATTCAGAGCACACTTTTATGTAGAGAAGATATCACAGATGTTTTTACAAAAGTCCGCTTGCATTTATCTTTTAAAACACAAAAGCTAGGTATGTCTTTCCAAAATATAGAAATGTCCAAGAAACCGACATTTCCAGTAAATGTCTATAATTTCGACCCCTTTATCTCTAAAAGTAATTTTAAAACTCTTTCTTTTTAGCTCTATAGACTTATTGAAAAAAATAAAATTATACTGATTTTGTTCTATCAATGGACAAGTATTTTGTGAATATCAATTCGCTTATTAATAGTCTAAAACTATCGACGCGCAAATGTATTACCATTACAAATGTATTGCACCGGGCTCTATATCGTCCCGTTTCTATTAATTTGTAAATTAAATTAAATTGAGAATACGAAAGATCTGCCATCAAAACCATATTTTCCAATTAAAAAACAAAATAAAACAAAAAACATTCAAATACGACATAACCACTGACAAGGTTCCTTTCTTAGGACAGCACATATACATGTGGCGGTGTTAAACTGTTTTTTCTTTTTTTCTTTTTTTTTTTTTTTAGATTTAAACCCTTCCCGACATTTAAATCTAAATAAGTGTACTAACATCTAAATACTACTGTCGACGTTGAAATTGGAAACAACAGTAGTAATCCTTGTAGTAATGCATTGCACTATTATTATAACATAGTGTGACAAGTTTTAAATTTTTCTGGAGTGTAAAAAATCTTTGATATTATTTTATGACAAATGAATGTCAGTTTACCTCCGTCGACAGTTAGGATTTCTCATTATATAATCTAAGGTTAATTTTTCTTATTTTTCAATAAATATGGGTGCAACTATACAGGCCTCTACAATAACTTTTTTTAACTTGCCCAATACTTGTCCGAATGGAATTTTACTTGTCCGAAAAAAACTTATTAACTTTTTTTCTATTAAAATATAGTTGATTTTATTTTAATGAACAAAATGAAATAAAACGATACAACAGTTACAGTTTATTTATTATTTATTATCTATTGACATCCTTGTCAAAAATGGCTATTGCATCTAGTCAAAAGACTTAGGTTCTAATAATTATATTTTCTAGTTGTCATCAATGTCATCATCAGACTGTGCCATATCAGGATCTGGAAGTCCTCTCAGTCGCAATTCATTAGGGTTGTAACCTGGTCTTTTCTGTCTTCCACTTGACCACCAGTGATTGAAGACTGACTTGGTGTCAAATTGATTAATTTCAGGTCCTTCAACAGTTTTAAATAGTAACATTAATAACATTTTTGGCTTTAGGGAAGATCTCCAGTCAGTCTTTACTCTTTTCATTGCAGAAAAGCCTCGTTCACATACAGCGCTGGAAAGAGGAAAAGAAAGATCAGCTCTAGAACCAAGATCAAATGTTCAAATCTTCTTTTCAGATCTGGATAAATAAAAAAGTTTTCAACAGCCACTGTTGCTTTGTGTCTTCCTACATAAGCCTTGAAATCTTTCCACTCCCCGTTGTGGTCCATAATTACATCTAAATTACAACCATTTCTTTCCAGTATTTCATGGAAATTCTCTAACAGGAAAGCCATCTTTTCATTCCCACATGTAGCCAGTTCGTTTCTATCTTGTGGCCATTCACTGAAAGTAAGAATTAATGATGCTGCCTTAAGTACTGGGTCTTTCTCCATGGGTTCAAATCTGTTGTCCAGGGCAGCAACAATCAAGTCAACTATTACTTGTTTCTGTCTGATAAAATCTTCATCTACGTTCACGTTTGATAGTTGAATGTCTTTATATGTACTGTTCTGGGCATCTACAGTAGCAAGAAAATTTGACAATTTTCTGCCATTTACTGTTTTCACTCAGTTCAATTAAAGATAGATTTGCAGTTGAAATAACATCAAACATTGCATTCTCAGGTAATCTTGCTGAAACTTCAAACTAAGTACACTGAGTACTTTCAAAATGTCAAGAAAAAAAAACACTGTGTACAGATCGAAACTTGTAATCTTTGAGTTTTTTGCTGATAAAAGTAGCTCTACCTTGGACTTCTACAGATCAAGACATAGATTCCCGAATATGCTCAAAATGTGCAAGCAATACTCTGAATCCTTTAACTAAGACTTCAAGGGCCCTGTGAATATGTGGCAGCCATCTTGTACCAACAAGTTTTGTAGGCTTTAAAACCTTTTCTTCTAAAGCTTCCCTATCTGCTTCAATTCTCGTATGGCCTTTGGGGAATACTGATAGTGCTTGTACAGATACTGCAACAAATCCTGAATTTCTTTCATATGCTTGTGGTTTTTTCTTGCACTATAGGTAGCTATAACTCAAGTATGTGTGCTATGCAGTGTGTAATAACCAAGTGTGGAACATCACGTTTGATCAAAGTGGCTATTCCACCTGGGCATCCTAAATTTACAGAGGCTCCATCTGACCCAAAGCCAATTTATATATCCTTCCAATTGGGTATCCCATTTCTAGTGAATGCTCATTCAATTTCCTTTAGAATTCCCTGTGCATTTGCTTTTTCTACATCTTCAATGCTGAAGTAATAGTTTACTGGCTTCCCGTTTTCCAAAAATCCGAGATAAATGAGTTCATTCTCTATGACAGAAGAGTCTGTAGCACCATCAATCAGAATGGAATAAATGTGCAAATCGTTCTCTATTAGTATCTTTACACCTTTGAATAAGTCTTCATAAATATACTGGATAAATCTGAAAATATCAGGGATGCCTATGATAGTGTGTGAAAAACCACATCTAATTCACTGACTTGTGTTAAAGCATTATAGAAATGATTGATATAGATATTTGGTTAGGTATTAGTTTGGCAGGCATGTAAATTACTAATATAAATATCATATGCATGAAAGCATGATAAAAGCTACCAGACAAGTACATGAAGTACAAGATGAAAACAAAAGAAGGCATAGCAGAAAGCTGCTGCAGTGCAGTACATGATGATGAAGATAACATATAGTACATGTATATAAATGTAATAAAAATCTTATATTTGCTTAAATGACACTAATTTAGTAATTCAGTTTACCTTCTACAAGCATTATCAGATCTATAAAAATTTCCCATGTCTAGATCATTAACCTCTTGCAACTCAACCAATCTCGGAAAGTTTGTAAAGGGCTTTTCATGCTTGCAAATAAAGTAGGCAGTGGTAATAAGTTTCTTTATTTTGTCTTCATTTTCTTATTCCATTTTCCCAACACAGGACAAAAGAGGCCCAGACTGAGAGAAACTACCACTTCCAGATGCCTCAAGTTTTTTCATTTCATCTGTTTTTTTCTTCTCTTCTGCTTCTGCTTCTGCTTCTGCCAGATAATGGCCACAATCAACGAACTGATTATACTGCCATGGTTTGGTGCGCATATAAGACCACCCCCCTCCCTCCAAAATTTTAAAATTTTAATTCAGCTTTGTCATCGAGGCTTGAAAGGCCTCGACTGACGGTGCTGATACGACCCCAGGAGGAAGAGCGTATAAATCCCGGATGGTTCTTGGGAAGAATGAGTGTTTGCGGTAATCACAGGATGCTGATGGTACTTGGAAGGATTTATCATGCATGTTTCGTGTCAGTCTTTTAGGTGGTATTAGACGACCTTCCTTTGACATGGCCACTTTGTTGTTTTCTATTTTGTAGAGGATTGTGAGTCTCGCTTCTTTCCTTCTTTGTTCTAGGGATGTCCATTTGAGATGTTGTAGCATCATGTTAACGCTGGAGTGGTTATGATGTTTGTTAGATACGTAACGAGCTCCTCTTCTTTGTACCATCTCAAGTCTGTCAGTCTCTATCTTAAGGTATGGATCCCATACTGGACTGGCATATTCTACAATGGGACGTACCAATGTATTGTAGGCATTCTCCTTCACTGTAGTTGATTCTATATCTAAATTTCTTTTTAGGAAACCAATTGTTCGATTTGCCTGATTACGTATTTACATGATCATTCCATCTTAGTTCGGATGTAAATGTGCAGCCTAGGTATTTTGCACTGTTGACTGACTCAAAAATATGACCATGTAGGCTGTATGAAGTTGCAATTGTGTTGTTTTTCCTGCTGATGGTGAGTACATTGCATTTGTCAGGGTGGAATGACATTTTCCATTTTGATTCCCATATTCCAAGTTTGTCCAGATCTAGTTGTAAGTCATGCGAATCTTTGTCTGATGATATCGTAAGGTAAGCTATTGTATCATCTGCAAATAGTCGGACTGTAGATTTAATTCCATCGGGCATGTCGTTAATGTTGAACAGGAATAGTGAGGGCCCAAGTACTGAGCCTTGGGGTACTCCTGACTCTACATCAATATGATATGAACTTTCTCCATCCACGACTACTGCTTGGGTTCGATTAGACAGAAAGCTAGCGATCCACTTGTTGACATTTCC